GTGTTATTGCTTAATTTATTTGAAAACACAAAAATTCAATTCTCACTCCTGAATATTCAGAATTCAGGCCTTATTCATGTTCAGTGACACAGTAACACCAGAAGCACATCAGAAGGCAGGAGAGGGCAGGAGAAGAGCAGAAAATCCAACTAAGTTATTCCGTGCCATTTTGTTTGCTTATTTCACAGTCACAGGCTGTCAGTACTTGCGTAGCATCAAATAAGGAAAATTAATATTACACTACACTCGAAGAAATAGTTTTCAGGACAGCAATAGTGCTCCTGTTACCAGTATAGTTACTTACTATACTGTCAATAAGCCAGCACTCAGACTGTCAAATTTAGAACAGGGAAATAGCATTTCAAAAAGTCTTCAAATACATTTATTACATGATATGCAATTTTTAGCTGGAAAAAAAAAAAAAAAAAAGAATCTAGGCTTGAAGTCTTCAAGTTTTCAAGATTGAAATTAATTAGGTCTTCAACATTTTTTCCTAGAAGTAGAAGACAGTTATTGTGTGCTTGAGTGCACTGCATGTACATTTATATACACGAGTGTGTGCATATACATCTTTTATTTAGAATATGAACTTGCAGTGGAGTAGGTAAAGCTATATATGGACTAATGTGACAGGCCCAAAGAACTTCAAATATTCGAAGAAAATAGCCTCTTCTGGGGCTGTCTATTAAGTGTCAACTGAAGATCACATCAGAACTATCAGCATTATACTGTAGCCATTTCTCAATCTTCATTTTACTCACTAAAGAGCTCCGCTGTGTTTACTACCACACACAATAAGGTACTTGAACCTAATTAGTGTACCTATATCTAAATACAGAAATACACATACTAACATATTTCTGCATCTATACATATTTTTATCTACACGTATTTATACTCCAACCAGCTTCATGTTTGGAATTTTATTTTTAGTAATACATGTATCTTTGAAAATTTACCTTATTATATCAGCTGTATGAAAGCAAATTCCTATTCAAATTGCTATTTCAAATTTTAAATTCCTTTTTCAAAAATAGAAAACAAGGAAGTTTTGTCATTATTATCTCTGACCCCTGGCTACTAACAGGCTCTGAAAAAGAAGGCATGTTAAAATTATCTACAGTAAATACCCCATTGTTTATTTTTATTAGGGATGTATTTGTCAGTAAAGCTGTCAAGAATGACTTGATATATGCCAGAATCTTCAGAGCACTGAATATGCTGTGCAGTTTTTAAGTCTATAGTTTGCTATTACGCATTTTTGATGCTTTCTAAAGAACACTTCTGGGAAAGAAGTATATCTAACAAAACTTGTATAAATTCTGAGAAATCTTTCATTTATTTGCTATAGTGTTATTGTTCTACTAAAATCCCACATGGTAGACTTCTTTAATCAACATACTGGCCTCCAAATATTTAATTCCTTCTCTACAGTAAAGATAATTTCTTGTCCATTCTTTCAAGGATCTATTTCAGGCACTATCAATCCTCCTAACCCCACAAGCTGTGTCACAATATATATGAAAGGAAAAAGTCAAAAGAAATACACTATTTACCTGAGAGAACTGAAAGAAAAAAAGAGTTCTGGTAGCAGCTCAGAAGCATGAGATGACAATAGCTCTCTTCAAGCTCCACTGCTCTACTGTAAAAAGGAATTGAGCCGCAGCCCTGGTCCCAGGGACAATCAGTTAATGCCAACCTCAAATATCAGAAATGAGGATAACCTGGCATAACGGCAAACACTGCTGCTCATCACATGACAAACACAACAGGTGAATTTGGCCTGAACCACCCATAAGCCGAAGAACATTCAGAACAGACTGGCTGCATTTCTATGCTTCAGATCTGGCCTTGTTCCACATCTGTTCCCACAATCTTATCTCCAACTCTTATTTGCTACAGTACATTTCATTCCATACCAACTGCCTTTTTTGTTCTTCTTTACAGCTATCAGCTTTGTACCTTCAGGTTTTTTTAATGCAACACAAGCCATTTTCTTTAGTATGCATACTAAAACAGTCTCCTTCAAAGCATTTTTAGTTGCCTCTCAGCACTGATCATGACTCAGATGCCAACAGCATTCCTCTCAATTGATACTTTATGTGCTCTTGTAATTTAGCACAGGTCCTCCAAGCAGCCACCTTATAGGCTTTTATGTACAAGGCACACTAATCTACTGCTCAAATTCAGGGATAAAGACCCTTAGCTTATTTCTCTATACACATATTCATTAGAGAAACATCAAGCAATTCTATTTTTTCCTTCAGAACTAAATTAACCAGAAGTTGATACCAGCTGTCTTCAAATATAACAAATTCAGAATACGATTCTGGACTACAGAAATTCTCTACACCAAATTTTTGATGATTAAAATCTGAACTGAAAAAATAAAAATAATAAATAAAAAAAATATATCACTGTTAATTCCAACAGTGAACACATTAGTTTTGTTTTGACACAGAACACCTTGAGCTTCACACGTTAATAATTAATTAATTCAATTTCAACTAAAAATGTAAAAAGACTGTAAGATTCAATGAAAGGTAAAAATAAAGGGTTAGTATATGGAACTTACTAATTTTTATTTGCATGGGAAGTTTACTGAAAGGTATTTCTGAAGCAAGTTATAAACAACAACAGAAGCTTCAGTTCTGAAGGGTGGCAGATGTACATGGACAAACCTGCCAGAATTACTTGATAGTGCTGACAAGCAGTACTTACTGTGTCAACATATTGCCCAATTTCTATGAGGAAAAACAAACAAACGCAACCACAACCCAGGCAGCAAATATTACACTCATATGAAAATCATTTTATCAATGTAAATTTGAAGTAAACAGTTGCTTCCTAACAGAAGTACAATTTCAAGATTTCTTTGGCAATTTGTGAAGAATAAGAGCAATTGGCATTAATGCAGATCACAGCCTCATGTGCAAAGTTCAGCAGTTTGTACTAAAAAGAATGTTTGTTTGTTTTTTATAGTACAACAACAATATAAATTAAAAAAAAACACAAGCTTTCCAAGTCTCTGAAATCAGACTGGTACTTCAGCTGGTGCTGAAATTAGTCTAAGTGTTTGCTTTCAGTTGAAAACACAAGATCATGTTCAAAGAGAAGAAAACATTTCCAAATTTATATACTGACTAACAACTTACATTTTCAAAACCTTAACTTTAAAAATGAAATGAACTTTTCTTCAAAGCATTTATTTCCTTTCTTCCCACCATGATGACTAAATACCACACAGATTAATCTGTGACAATTTCTAGTTGCAATAATAAATATCTCCTTAATGAATATGCAACTTTATGTGTCATGTTGACAAAAGCGCAGAAATAAGATCATATACTATTGCTAGTCTTACTAAATTTAGCCAAGTTTGTAACTTTTAAAGGGTGATAAATTAAACAGTACTTGTAAACTGAAACATTTGACACTCCTTTAGGAGTGACTGAGTACTATATCCACTGGCTTTTGTGCTAGAGACTTCCATGCAACATAATAGCTTCACTAGGCATATTGTATCTGAAATATAACCTTTCTCCTGTCTTCAGAGCTAGAGACATTGCCCAGCAGTTAATCAACAGACACTCCACCTTAATTTAGGGTAGCCAATAAAAAATGAGCAACTCTCCCTTTAAATAGAATGAAGCAGCAAAATGAAATATCAGGGCAGACTGTAAGATACTCTCTTTGAATGGGACTTAAAAAGTGCACAGGAATGCATATATCTTACTTCAACAATCTCTTAAAGTAATGAGTGGGGTTTGTCTTTTGTTTGTTTGCTTTGTTTCTGACACTAAATGTCAAGCTAAACACTATTCATACAAAACTGATCTGTTACAAATGTTTGGGAGTTCATAGATACTGAGAAAGCTAGTACCTTAAAATAAAGCATACACAAATGATTTCACTGCATTCCAAAACAGGAAATTTTGACATATCTGAGACTAAAAAAGCTAGCCTGGCAGAAAAGAGTGATTCACTTCACCTTGTATAAATAAAACCACAAGTGCATGCCCTGCTTCTTTCAATTTAAAATGGATTTCACACCATGACAGGTTTTGTTCTGCATTAAAATTGCAAATCTTCTGTGTGGCCCAGTTTCAGCTGCAATTGATCTGCTTTGTCGTCATAGATAAAAAAAAACACTGAAGGGCACTGCAGCTTTAAATATTTCAGAGCTATGTAGCTAGTAAATAGACTCCATTGCAATATGGCTCTGAAGGTCGTGTCCTATTGTCTCTTTTCTCTGCAAATATTTTGAACAGCATAAATTAGTTTATTTTATACAATACCTCCCTGCCATTCCTAAATCACGCCAATTGTATTGGGTATTTCCTTACTGGAAAGGACAGATACGCCACTCTTTCCATACACACCCACGCTGCTTCTAGACATATTCAAAACGTCCACCACGAATATAACAGCAAAGGGGGATATATCAGACATAGACAGCTTTTCCTATATGTACCTTATATGAACAGATCCCCCTGTTAAATGCCCCAACATAAAGACAAGTAGTTATTTCAATAGTGATAAAATAATTGACTGGTTCAAAAGCACCTTTAGTTAAAAATCAACATGCCAGTTAGAATACTGAAGCAAGCAATTTTAATGTCTCCTGCTCTTCTCATATGGGAAAACACAAGAAAAAAAAACAAAAAACAACAGAGCAGCAATAGAACACAGTCTGCCAAACCTGCCTTTCATGTAGGAAGGCTACTACCTTTCTAATGCTACAAACAAACAACAACAACAAGGTTAAGCCCCGTCATGTTTAAGAACAGATTATAAGTACAAGGAGACTGTTAACACCAAGCCAAAATTTGGAACCTCTGAGTGTGCACCTCCCTGGGACCAAGCTTATTTCTTTTATATGGGATGACTATTCAGTGCAGACATGAAGTATGGAAATGTCTCTCATATAGAAAAGTGAAATATATCCCTGCAATAAAATACAACTGTGATAGCTGTCACTATGTAGAAGGTACATTTACCTGAAAAGGCAACAGATTGTTGCCATTGTCCGTCCTGAACGCGTTGTCTTCCATCCAGGATTTGGGGGTTAAGGGTGCAGCCCGTGGGAACTTCGGAGGGGCAATGACATTGCTGGAGAATGGTTTTTTAAGGGGTGAAATGGGATTGAGGGGGGAGGGTACACCGACCCCCACTCCCACGCCAACCCCCACTCCAACTGCCCTTCGAGGGTCCCTACCAGCCTGCAGCCCACCCCAAGGGTTGGAAGGTGTACTCCAAGCTGCATTTTGATGGTTATTCCAGCTGGAGGAAGAAGAAGAGGATGCAGAAGAGGAAGACGGTTTGCTGGTCATGATGGGCTGATGGCTGTAAGCAGCATTTCTCTGGGCAAAAGGCGCCTGATTAGGGCTCACAGGAGACCTCCGCTGCTGCTGCTGCTGCTGAGCTTGCTGCTGCTGCTGCTGATGTTGGTGGTGTTGAGTCTGAGCTAGGCCAATTTGAGGAGAGAAAGTGCCACCAAATACAGGGTTGACATGGTGTGGAAAATTCTGGAAAAGCATTGTTCCATTGACCGGAGTAATCCCCTGGAAAAAGCTATCATCCACCGTGTTTGTGGTCCCCGTCGACCAGGTGCTGCCGAAGGAGGGAGACAAGGAGGTGCCGGCTGCAGGTTCTTGTTGAGGCTGGTGAAAGCTCAAGCCAGGCAAAATGGGAGACTCCATCTGCATCTTCTCCTTGCTATTTTGGGAAGGAGCCGATGTGCCGATACTAGTCACTGAGCTGCTGTCTTCTGGCTTGGGCGTCTCTGACGAGATGGGCGTAGAGGGGGCTTCTGCTGAGTTTGGATCTTGCTGCTGCTGCTGCCGCTGCTGCTGGGGCTGGGCTTTGCTTTTGTCCATCAGTAAATCATCCTGCATGGTTTGCGCAGCTGAAACAGTAGGGGAAAAAACCACAAAGACAGATTATTAGCATTGTCATTCATAGCACAAATGAGGCCGCTTTAATCATTTGCCGGTCAAAAATCTCCTCCTATTAGTAGTGCTATATGCTACAGCAAGTTGCAAGGCAAACCCGTAATCTTCCCCCTCCCCCATTTAGGAACATGTAAGCTTTGATCATGCTAGATTGTCTTGAAAATATTTTTTAAGATGCTTCACCCTTTTTGATGCCTTGTTTCCCTTCAGTCTAAATGAGAGATGTGCTTATAGGGCAGAGATATACAGCAATTTCGCCACGTCTCTTTTCTCTTACACCGGAACTCAGAGCTCTCACCCTGCAATGAGAAACTGATTCTGGTTCCTGTTTTTCCAAGCACCCTCCTCCTCCTCCACCTCCTCCCCCTGGCTATTTGCATACGTCAATAAATACTGCTGCGTCCTTCAGCAAGGTTAAAGAGACACCAGTCTCCGCTCTTCTCCACCCCCTTTCCGATGAGGGCACCTTTAAAGGAGCCGGTACCCATTTCCCCAGCAAGCAGCCAGGCTCTCCGGCCGGCAGCGCCGTGCTGGGGCCGCGGGGACGGGGAGCGACCCTCGGCGTGGCCGAGCCGGCAGCACTGCGGGGCGCAGCGCTGCTTCGCCGCAAAGGCGTCCCGCTCTATTGCCTTCTCCAGAAAACCGTCCGTCATCTGTTCGTAGGGAAATATAAGGCCAAAAGGAGCAAATCGGGGAGGTGCTACTCGGCTGTAACGCTCCCGACGCTTTCACAGTGAAAAATTAAAATGAGGTTAAGCCGAATGTTTTAAGTAGAGACATGGCCATCTTTAGATGCAGGAGACAAGGACTAGTGATGGAATTTATTTGCTACATCGATACGTAAGCTTAAACTCGCTTTAGAAGCGAGTGTACATAGCATGACTGAGTCTTATACCTGATAGAAGAGGGGATTCATATAAAGGAGGGCAGGTACTGGAATTTGATCAATATTTCAAAACACCATAATAGTAATGCAGATGTAAACATCATTGCATGGAACTAAAACAGGATCCTCCACATGTCACAGACTTCTAGTCGATTGAAGAGATTATTATACATTTCAAAAGCATTTTGAATGAGCCAAAACCAGTTTCTCAATTGAAGTATGTAAAAGACGGTGATCACCAAATGCCTAATTGCATTTCTACTGAGCTAATCACAACAGCTTGGCCACGCTGTTTTTAGGATTGCTGTTTCAAAGTAACAAAGTAAAGTCCAGCCAAACCAATTATCTGGTTAAGAAAGGTGTCAAAGAGCAAAGTCAGTGATCCTGACAACCGTTTTGAGATGGCCTATACACACCTTTAGTTTATTATTTTTTAATTCCTACATAGTCACTCACAGACTTTTTACCTCAAATGAATGTAAGGATACATTTCTTCTATAAGTTACTTGGCTTGCTCCCTAGCATTTCCCCTCTCCATACAAAACGAACAGCAAGGGTTCATGCAAGTCTATGCTGTGAGACAACATTAGGGCAAGTTCCCAAGAACAGGGCAAACTATCACACCCAGCCAGCAGCCCTGCTGCTGCCAATGGGGCAAGGGAAACCTGGAGGCAGCTTAAAGCAGTGCTGTAGAAAAACCAGAACACACCGAGCTTCATGTAGCTTTCCATCATCTGCGTTTATAGCAACATCACCATTAATTCTAAGAGTGCAGAAAATTATTGACAATTTTATAGCAGAGAGAAAAAGCATAATTGTTTACCCCTTCCCTGCACAAAAGTATATTGAGAAAAAAATACAGCAGCTGAAATACTACAGTCCTGCCATCAGTAAAGTATATTTAAATCAGTTAGTCATCGGGTTATCTATAGTGGCTAGCACAGCAGTTGTTTCACATATGTACCTTGACTTGGCCATTTGTTTTTGAACTTTATCCTAAAGACTGTAATCCACATTCATTTTCATACCGTTTCTTAAAGGTAAAATCACCACAATTCAATTCTCTTGTCAAGGTCAAGACCTACCTTTAACAGCAAAGCCAGTCTGAATGGAAAAACACTGGATAAAAAAAAAAGAAAGACTGAGAGGCCACCCATGCCTAACACTGGACTATACACAGCAAATAATCAAGAGGTGCTATAAGTATTTGAGCAAATACACAAACCAGAACAGGAAATCTATATCCCCACAGCAATACCACCTCTGCTTGCATGCAGTAACCCATGCAGTCGACACAGAAATTCTTAAGGAACAGTTACCTTTGGATTTTCTGTATCTAAAGCTCAATAAAACAGTGTGTTTATTTTGTCCTTTCGGGTTTGGTGTGACAAACAGTCGGCCACTCTGGCAAGAGCACTTTGACAACTGGGAGCTGTCAGCGCATGCTCTGCCGCGGCATTCTGGGTTTTGCAGTTCGACGGGGGCGGCGTTGGCTGCCCAAGCAGGGCCTGCAGCACCGGGCAGCTCAGCTCAGCTCGGGCTGCTGCGCTCCGCTGCCCAGAGGAGCTCGGACAGACGCAGCGCGTGCCGCACGGAGCTGACAGCGCGCAACGGCAGCTGAACTGCACGCAGCTTTTTTATGGCCAGAGCACACAGCTACGTGGAGCAGCAATCGCTAGCCAAAGGAGTGCTTCCAGGACTCCCAGATTCCTTCAAATCTCCAAATTTACGTACAAGGAATTATTTACAAGGCTTATCATCTATGAAAAACCATCACCACTGTTACAAACGGGATGGTGCCACATTACTTAGATGTAGAAAACATTAATGAGCCACTTGTCACAACACCAGTTCTAAAAGCATTCCAACTGAAACACAAATAGGGCAAGTATGAAACTTCAAAACAAAAATCAGCACGTGGGCTGTATGATATGAATACCTTCCAAATTGCAAATTACTCATTACTGAGCTACTGTTATAACTTCAAATCCTTTAAAGAAGGAAAATAGTAATAACCCTACTCAGGAAAAAATAAAAAGGCAGACAAATATTTTACTATTTATCACCACATTCACTCCATACTGCAACTCCTCATTTTAGCTACCTTCCTTCCACAACCACCATCCACATATCTCCTACTTCAGTACACAGATTGAAAGGAATGAATCTCATTTTGATGTTATAGGTCAGACAGTTTTCAGAATTTAGTCTGCAGGCCTTTGTATTCCATCTTATGCTGATCCATTAATTGTTCTGGATAATCAATGATATCAATAATTCTGGAAAAGGAATGCTAACACCTGTATGAAAATCACATAGCAGAAATCTGAAATGTGAAACTATCAGCGTTTCGTAAAGTTTCAGGCTGTCTTTTCGAAGATGAAATATGCCCAGCTTTGTGGCTGAACTCTGAGAAAGATAAATGAGGGTATTTGAAAACGGCTTGCTAAATCACCCCTGTATTTTGCTTTCTGCTGTCTATTTATGTTGGACTATGTGGTCCACTCGCCTTGAATTAATGCCGTAATCAAGAGTCTCTGAACACTTGCTCTAACCTGTTTGCACTGCTCTGAATCATTAAAGGCCAGGAAAATTGCTTTCTGACAGCAGCTGAAAATGTCTCATTTGTTGAAACCTCAGCTAGTACAGGGCTAGCCCTGGTCACTGTGCAGCCCTCCTTTATGTCCCTTCTTGCTCCCTGCAGATGCTGTGAAGACTGATGTGAAAGGAGACAGGAGACAGCTTCATTTGCAGATCAAATATTAAGATAATGAAAGTAATCATGACAGTCACAAACAGAGAAATGCTACCTAACCAAAGAAATTCAAGGTTTAATGGAGTCTTTTGATCCATTAGCTACCAGAAGCTTTTTTTTTTTTTTTTTTTCTCCCTACCAGCCAACTGTTTTGTAATTGGAAGTTAAAAGATAGTAACAACAGCTGTATCAGGAAACAAAAGCTTCATTCAATTTGATACCTGAATTTCTTGACCTGGGCCAACTCCAAAGAAACAAATGTAAGAAAAGCTCAAGTAAGCCTAGCTAACTTAGCTAAGATTGTACTGAGTGTGTTTTTGTTTGATGAAATTCATTATGAAGTAATTTATGCCTTCTATAGCTAAAAACCCATGCCAGTCTTTCTGTCACAAAGTGAATTTTCCAACTAACTTGAAGGTTAAAGTACATTACTGAAAAACTTAGTTTTATTGTAGAAACATTTTTCTCAGTTTACATATATCTCATTTGAATTTAATGGAGGGCTCCTTGCATTTAGAAAGACAGAATCAAGCACATATGAAATATAAAGTGATCTCGCCATTTATTTTTTATATGCACTAGTTTATATGCACAGTTATAATGCACTATTGAATAAAGAGAATGCTTTCATATTGCCAGATTGCCTGGCTTTGTTTAAATTAGTGAATAATTCCAACAGCTTCAGTGTTGTCAAATGAAAAGAATGTGCTAAAGCAGTGCTGCTGAAATGGACAGGTAAATATTTAATATACTCCATGCTATTCTAATGTTAATTGTTTATCAGTTACCTTAATAAGCTTAATGAAATCTCTGCAAGTTTGTTATCAAACAATTTAATGTTTTAAAATGTGACTTTCTGGTATAAATCTGATAGCTCTAAGCAGCTTACATTATTTTTCATAGTTTTCATTTAATTCTGACTTCTCATCAAGTGTGTGATCTTATTTAATTCAAAATGGCTGCCACCTCCAGCTGGCACCAGTGAGGCTGAGTTCTGCCAAATCCCAAGTGGTAGCAGTCCTCATCCTACACTTCATATTGGAAAAAGGGAGTCCTCCTCAGGGAGTCCCCTCCAGGCTCAAATGCAGCTCCCATCGGGTGAAGGCGAGAGAGGACCAAATGAATCAGCACAACCATCAGAGAGACAGAACAATGAGAACTCCATTTAGGGATGGTATGGACAACAACAATGTAAAAATAATAATAAAAAACAAAAGCTGCAAGAGCCAATCTGAGGTTTAAGATACAAACTGTCACTGTAATAAAAAGTAGAAAGAAAAGGAACAGTAAAGGGGGATAGGGAGACTGAATTGAAGGAGACTGTTGGGGAGAATAAAGAAAGCATTTGAATGGGGCAGCTGCATATCCAGTCCTGGTAGAGGGAAGAGATGAGGATGGAATGACAACTTTTGCTCTGTCGGGGAATAAGGAGAGTTCTTTCAAACTTAGAAACTGTTGGTTATTTATGTATTTTAATACCACGTTTTCTTTCTGAGAGGACAAATTGAGATTCCATACCTAACGCTGCCCAACAGAGTCTTGAAGATTGAAAAAGACACAAATCAGTTTTTAGATTTGGGGATTTTTAAGCTATTCATAGGATGTTATGAGGTCTGTCATGTTTTTCTATATTGCATATTTACAAGGAAATATGATGTACACACCTGCCAAGTGTTTACCACGTGAGCCAATACACATGTCTCAACCGCTTTTGTCATCCCTCCCTCCCTGGCAGGGGGCAAAGAAGCCTTCTTTGTGAGAGACTGTTCGCAAGCTTCATATAGTAGCCAGGTGATGATGGATTCCAGTCACATTTCTTTGGGTAACTATTGCCCACAGTCATTACTGCTGATCACAACCTCATAGCCTTATCCTAAATGGCAGGCAACTAGCTTATCCTCCCTGCCCCAAAACCAAAACACAGAAGCTGTACAAATCCCAGAAATAAAATAGACTTTCTTCCTTTCATTTGTAAGGTTTCAGAATAAATACATAAAACCCAAGCATTTGTCTGGCCTATCTGATCAGTACTTTGGCCAATAGACAATGCATTTGTTCCAGATGAAGTCCAGGAATCACAGACTCTGGTAACCAGTACTGCTCTAATATTTCACAAGCAGCTGTAATTGGGAAAGTGGGCATTAGGTTCTCTTCCAGGAAGCCACGCCTACAGGGTTTACTCAGCCTACTGTACGCACAAGACTTCCCAGTACTGCAAGTAAAATTGAATTTTACTGTCCTAAGACAAAGTTAAAAATAAATTTTCTTGGACAGGATGTCAGCACACTGCCCTCTTCCTACTTGCTTCTGTAGATACTTTCTGTAGGAAAAAATTACCAAAATGTAACTGCTTTGGCACTCCTGCTGATGATACCTTTGGTAATCAGAAAACAGACAACATTGTCCTTATTCTGCGTATAGAATACAGCTTGTAAGTCTAAGTCCAGATAATAAAAGAAAAATGGAAAATAAAATCTGAGAAAAATAATATCAGGCACAAAACAATAGCAAAAACAGAACAATGTACATAAATTTAGGTCCAACTGCATAACCAACTTACATGTTTGTTCTGTAATCTGACAACAGTGCAGCCCTCCACTTTTTTTTTTTTTTTAAACACATATTTTACAGGATTTTTCTCCCATCAAAGACTCAAAACCAGACTGATTTCCCCTTAGCTATGACAGCAGGGTCAAAGGATGAAGTACATTCACTGCAGGCTCCTTCTTGTCCTACCTGATCTCTGCAGCTGCACAGAGCTACCAGGCAAAATCTGCTCATCTCAAGCAAGAACTGATGTGTGCTGAAGAGGTGTGGAGCTGGCCCAGAAAGCCACCACCTTGTACAGCAAATGAAGCATAACACAGCAAGATACAACTGACACAAGATTTTGAGGACCGGCTACACACAGCAGTTATTAGATATGTATATACACACCCATCAAAACTCGAGAAGAAAGACCTAAATCTGATCTTTACCCACCAACCTTCCTAAGAATTGGAACTGTTGTAAGCGTTTCTGCAAACAACACCTCTGCCCTTTGCATGGGAAGCACAACATGCAGAACTTCTCCACACGTGCCAATACGTGCACATCTGGGCTGAGGAAAGAGCAGGAGAGGGCCCCAGGGGGACAAGAAGCAGCAACCCTCAGGTGCTGTCTGTCCCTTTGTTCTATAAAGGCTTTTCGGACTCAGAAGTTCCAGCTTCTTATGCTGCGCTACTGCATATCGACTTCAGAACATAGAATGGATTTTCAAAGCCCTTAAGGACTTACACTCCACGGTTACGAGCAGCAGTGGAAGCGCTGCACTACCACCAGCCGCCCCACAGCTCGCTCAGGGTGCCAACGGCCACCACAAGCACACACCGCGATCGCAGCCCCTCCCCAGCACAGCGCGAGCCCTCTCTCCCCCGGGCAGAGGCTGCACCTGCCGGCCGGGTGGCGGCAGCTCCTTCCCAGCTCCTCTCCCGCAGCAGCGGCGCCGCGCGGTACCCTCAGCCACCGCCGTGAGGGAGGGGCTGCGGTGCGCGACGGCCGCTCCGCGCGAAGGAGAGCGGAGGCGCAAGGGCCCTTCCCGCCGCCCTCCGCTCGGTGACCCTGTGCCGGAGCGGCGGGCGCGGTGCCGGGCACGGCGCTGACCGTCCCCCGTCGGAGCCCTCTACGCGAGCGCGGCTCCTACCTGCCCCGCGCGCAGTGCCGGGCAGCGGTTAGGCGGCAGAGGCGAAAAGCGGCATAGAAAGGGAGATGGACAGGGGGAGGCGGCGCCCCGCGGGACCTTTAAGCCCCCGGAGGCGGTGGGACTACACTTCCCGGCGTGCCCGGCCGTCTCGACTGCCTGCTGGGCGCAGGCGCGCTGGGAAGAGGGCGGGGACGGGCGTCGCGGTTGCGCTCGGCCTTTACCTCACAGAGGCACCGCCGCCTTTCATCTCGGCGCCGCGGCGGCTCTGGGCCGCGCCGTGCGTGCGTAGCACCCTCCGCGCGCCGCGTCCCGCCCGCCGAGGGAGGCGCGTGGCGGGGGGCGGCTCCGCTGCACGGCCCCGCTTTCTCCCGGCGTGACGCGCGGCTTCCCCGGCGCTGGGCCCCTTTGTCAGGCCGCGGGCCCTCGGCTGTTGGAGCCATGTCGGAGCAGACGGGCCTGGCGTTGCCGCAGACCATGGACAGGTACGGGAGGCCCGGCTCCGGGAGGCTCGGGCCGGCCGGGGGCGGTTGCGTATGTGTGGGTTCGCCGTGGCTTTTGGTGTTCGGGTGGTGCGGGCCGCGTTAAGCTCGGCCGTGGCGGGGTTGGAGCGGGCTGCGGGGAGAGCGGCGCGGTGCAGGGGGCTGCCCGCTTCCTGACGGTGCGGGAGGTAACGCGGCGTCGGGAGCGTTCGTCGAAGCGTTGAAAGGCGACGCGTGTTTAGCCGGGCCTTGTGGGCTTTGTTACTACCTTTGTCTGTTTTGGAGGAGCGTGTAGTTTCTTTTTTGAGTTGCTAAGAAGTCCGACCTGTAAACTCCTCTGACTTAATTCTAAGGGAGAAAAGGCATTCGCTCTTATTACGTTTGCTTCCTCTGATTACGTGTGTTTGCACACCAAGCACTTTCACCCTGTTCTGCTGAGAATTTGAGGTTCCCACTGTGGGGCATTGAGTCATCCAGGAAGCTCTTGAGAGCTGCACGTATAGGCGACACAACAGCACAGTGCTTCTGAAGGTGGGAGCCCATAAGGAATCTATCCTCTACTGATAAACCCATCACGCTTTTCATCACAGACATCTGGGGAAAAGGGAGAAAGACCTCACTGAACTCTGATGTTGTGATTTATTTATTTTCTTATTTATTTACTTATTTTACTTCTGTAAGGAAAGAGGATTTTAGTAAAATACAGGCTGTCATCAGGCAGGTGATGGAGGGACAAACTCTGGGAGGCAAGGACAGAGCTTGCTCTGCCTTGAAGGTGAGGATAAGGAACTTCAGTCCGATAAAAAAAAAAAAAAAAAAAAAAAAAAACTATAAATGATTTGCTGGGGGGACAGAGGAAGAGGAAAAGCTTATTGTTGATGTTTTAGAAATCTGGGAAGTGTTGTTAAGGAGGCTGAGAGTCAGGAGCTGGAAACATTTTTGCAAGAAGTAACAGAAAGGAGATAGGTTGGTTATTGTTTTTGTGTGTTTTTTTGTTTGTTTTTTTTTTTTAGAAGCGCTGTGAGGGAGGTATTCTATTTTACTTCCTGTGAATATCAAGTATAAAAAGGAAGACGGTTAAGGATGACGAGCAGGAGGAGGATGGTAAAGCTGTTGTGTAGAAAGGAAGAAGAACGAGGAAGATCAGGAAGAATGTTGCACACCTGAAACTAAATTTCATCTTCATCCTGGAATTCATAGTCTGATGATATGTAGTATTTCGTTATTTTGGATGTCTAACAAATCATTATGTTCTGAATGGCTGCCCTGCTGTCTGTGGCAATTTTAACATAACATGAGGCCCTAATTCAGTGGGAAATGTCTGAGGTGGTATTTATCTGTGTGGCAAACAGTAAATTGATGTAATTAGATGACTCTGCCTAATAAAACTGAAGCTTTTCTTTTGTGCTCATATCAGCATTTGGGACTGTGATACGCAAGAATCTAGAATCCTTTGTGATGTCTTTGCAGGTTTTTTTCTTTCAAGCTTAGATTTTTTTTTAAATGTCTTTTTTTTTTTTTTTTTTTTTTTTTCCCTTTAGGGTCTTCCCAGTATTAGCAAAGCTTACTGTTCATGAAAAACTGTCAAAACCAAATGGCATGTAGAAAAGTAAGGAAAGGTTTAGGTGAGCGTTTACTAAAAAGGAAGTTGGTTAATTAGCAGCCAAACCAGTTCACCATTCTTCAATTGGATGTGGATATCTGCGGTTTGATGCACGTTTCATGTTCTTGTGAACTACAGTTTCACAAAGCTGAAAGGACGTATCTCTGGCCCTTTCCAAATACTTCCCAGTAAATTTGGAATAACAGTTGATAATCTGAAATAATTGGAAGGCGTTCATGGCTTGCTTAACAACAAGGACAATAGGGAGAAAGTTTGAAGTACTTAGGAAGCATAGAGGAGGGAATGAAGAAAGACCACAGCTTTCATGCAAGCTTGTTGCACTCAGTATAGGAAGCTTTAGAAACAGCGCTGTGGGAAACAATGGATGGGAATGGTAAGAAGGTGCCGAGTATACAGGATTTGTATTTAACTCAGGACTCGGTACAGTACAAGTAGAAGGATCTTGGAGTAAACAAGACCTCAAAATGCAGTCAGGGTAAGTTTTCTATTATATACTGGTGTTATGCAGTGTGGTTATGTTACAAGAAACTTTCTTGTTCCTTCATCTGGTGTTTCTCAAGATCATGCATAACTGCTTTTATGTTGTATGTAGTGATGATCAAGAAAAACATTTCAGTATTTCACATCAGAGGACATAACCTGTGAATGACTCCTTTGTAGTGATTCTGAAGGGCAGAAGTTCCTTTTCTTTCATGCTGTTATTGTTGATGCTAATGACAGATAGTTATTGTGCTGGGTAGCAGTAACAAGTGCATACAGAAAAGCTTATGAGTTAATGTATTGTCATTGCACACAGAGCACATACTCTTAAATCAAATTGAAATCTTGTAGTGAAGGATGCAGAAAATAGCTTTTCAGTGAATAAGGCTTTCTTTGGTGTCTAACACTTCTCAGTGAGAGACTTTTTTTTTTCCTGATACCTAGGTGGTATCACTGAGAATTCGCAGAGAATGGTGAAGTACTGTTGTCTCAGGAATAAGTTATTGCTGTAGATCTGAATGTATGCACTACTTTGTATGCAAGGGTGATAGCTCTTAAATCAAGTTCTTCAATATGTATTTGTGAGAGATAACATCTGGCTTTCTTTACTTGGCTCCTAGGTTGTACATCTGTGTGGCATTCTTCTTGTGCATTCTTCTTGGTATTTTTCCTGCATAATTTTAGTCTGAACCACATTTCTAAGAAATGATACCTTTCTAATAAAAAGCTGTCACAGTGTAATGAATTCCTTACTTGAAATTTCTAGCTAAGGACTTTATAATTAGCTGAAGGGTTGCTACACCATGAATGCAAGAGGAAATAACACAGAAATACTGTACTCACAGTGGTATGAGGGTCTTGAACATTTACAATGGAAGTATTGTACTTGGTATGCCAGTATTGCAAACTGAGTCCTTTTTGTCTTTTTAAATATCACTTTTAAAATAGGCTAAAGAAGAAGGAAGGTTTTTTTTTTTCTTCTTCTTTCAGTTAGGCACTATGAACTTCCTGTCTTGGCACTGTTTAATGGTAGTTCTTCCAACTGAACACTTGTAAATGTTGCCTTGTTTATCCCTTGTTAGGTGTTCTGGCTGCTTTGTGCATGCTTCAGACTCTTTTGTTCTTCCTAGCTAATGTTAGAAGATAAGCAGTTGAACTTTGTCAGATTTTGGTTTGATTGGATTAGGTTTGATTAGTAACTTTGTCTTTTAAGCACGTAGCTCACTCTGAAAGCAATGCTTCCTATTTATTTTCATGGAAAATATAACGCGTGCAGAATAACACTATTTCACACAATAGCACTATTTCATAGACCAAATTGTCAGCTGCAAAATGCTATTTTTCAAGACCGCTTCTTCCTCCTGTATACAAGGACTGCTCTGAAAGTAATGCTTCCTTGTTTTATCAGCAAAGATAAATGAAAACTGATTGCAGACCTTTAGAAGGTCTTTTGCCCATCTGTGTAAAAGCATCAGGATGTTAAGCTGTTTTAACCTTGAGACTTCTGTCTTATGTGTGTAGCATTTCCATATTGACATCTGCTTTGATAGGCTTATATACAAACTTGAATATTTTAAACTTAATGGCTTAACAGCTTATTTCTACCTGCAGACAGTAGGAAATTAGCTCTCTGATTTTAGGGTTAGGAAACTCCCAAGATGCTGTTTATCATCTTTGGTACTGAAAATCTTAGTACCTCATATATATTTCCAGGGCGTTCAAACAGTACTCATCTACTACATCTAAGAAGCTGAATGTAAGATCTTATTGATAGCTTCTTAGATCTCTGTAATAGTGCTTAGCTGTGATTGTTTCCCTTGGTATGGTGGCTTGCAGTGCTTGTTGAAGTGAAAACTTGTGTCAACTAACACAAATATACCAAGTAACTATTTTAATATGTATAATTTCAGGGGAAAAAAACCAACTCTACAAGATTAAAGTACTACTTTCAGAAGGTTTTTAAAAGAAAACTTTGAGTGGCAGTGAATATATCAAATGTTCATTGGTGCTTTGCTGTAGAGAGGATAGGGAGTCCTATGCATGAAAATGTGAAATAGTCCTTGTCTTTTAAAGCTGTAGTGTCTTTAGTTGCTTTCTGCTCTCCCCTCATTTATTTTTCCTGTTAACAAAAGCTTCCACTTGGCACCTGAATACTTTGTTTAAAAGTCAGCATTTTATGTTGGATTGCAAGGTATCAGCATAAGGTAGCCTTCTGTGAAGGATGCTATTAGGAAGGCCATGTGCTGAGTGCTTACGATTGTTCTGGTGAGTCATGCAGTCAGCTTGAGAGTGCTGGGGAGAGTTACTTAATGTTATGTTCAGACACCTTGAAGTCTGGTTTGCATTTAGTAAATATTCTTCCAGATTTTCAATACCAATGCCAAATATGAGTAGCTGTTCCTAAAGCCATTGCCTCCCAGCCATCTCTCTTCTTGGGGTTTAAAATCCATACTGAATTGAGATTTTTTTTTTTTTTTTTTTGGTGACTTCAAAGTTTCATTCTTCAATTTTCATTATGAATATTAGGAAGATAAAAGATGACTGTCTCTTCTAGGACTTTTCGTTTGCTCTCTCACATACTGTAAATTCTATAATAAAAGTAGAAGTTATAAACTGAAAATATAACTTGAGTAATAGCATCTGTTATATAAGCTATTGAATTCAAAGCCATTTGCTTGAAGACTTCCTGCCAATTTTTGCAGCTTTGGGACCCCACTTTCTATTTTATTTCTGCTTTGTTTGGTAGTACATAATAGAAAAAACTGCTTTAATCATGGAACTAAGAATGGAATGTGGACAGCCATAAGCTCGGTTTTTAACTGATAAAGGTAGTGCTAATATGTTTACTTTTAACTGTACTGTATCCAGAGATTGTTTCATTCTTACATTAGCTGTGTGATGCTGGAAAATCACAGAATCACAGAATTGTAGGGGTTGGAAGGGACCTCCAGAGATCATCGTGTCCAACCCCCCTGCCAAAGCAGGTCCCCTACAGCAGGTCGCACAGGTAGGCATCCAGGTGAGTCTTGAACATCTCCAGAGAAGGAGACTCCACAACCCCCCTGGGCAGCCTGTTCCAGTGCTCCATCACCCTCACCGTAAAGAAGTTCTTGCGTACATTCGTGAGGAACTTCCTCTGCTGCAGCTTATGTCCATTTCCCCTTGTCCTGTCTCCACGTACCACTGGAAAGAGACTGGCCTCACCACTATGGCCCCCACACCTCAGATATTTAACAGAATTGATGCAGAAGTTTGAACTTGCATAAAATGCAGACTGTGAATGGAATCAAAGTTTGTATTTCTTATCTTTTATCATTTGCTTGTCACAGTAGTGGTTTAATGTTGAGACAGCTACAATTTCAGGAATGTCAAAGTTCTGTTCTCTATCTATGTTGCTTCTGATGTTTGTAACACCTACCACCTAATTTTTACATGTACCACAAACACCAGTATTGGTATTCTTGTCATGCAGTTTCTCTTGCACTTCCTCCAGTGCAAATTAAACTGTTGTACATAATGTAATCCCTTTTAAAAAGAGCAAAGACATGTTTTCATCTTATTCTTGAGACTGACAGTTGTACTTAACATTCCAGTTTAAAACAGCATATTAAAAATACTTTGATACCAATCTTTGAGAACACACAGATATGGTTAGTGCTTGATAAAGGAATGTAGGTAATTGCTAACCTTCTGTTACGGAAAAGTAAGTCTTCTGGGAGATACATTTGGTATCCTTTGACTCAGAACTTGAAGGAATAATAGTTAAATTCCTTTAAGTCAACTCAGTGTTTCTTTCCTCAATGCTAGAGGATACATGAATATAGCTGTTGCTCGTAAGGGGGTGCAGCTAACAGGATTCTGATGAAGCATGAAGCGGTTGCGCGCTGATACCCATCCCTGGTGCATGGACAGCACTTCCAAGCAAGCTTCTTGAAACAGAATTGCTTGGTTATCAAGGTTTGCCTCAGTGCTAATATTTTTAATTCTCCGGTAATGTCAGAAAGCTGTTTTCTGGAAACGCTGGCTAGGGAATCCTCTGAACGTGTAATTAAACAATAGGAGCATCTAAGTAGAATATCTTAGCATGCTTTGAGTTCCTTCTTACTAAGAAACAGCCTCCTGTGTTTTTGAGTCTCAGATCAATTTTCTGCTGC